AAAAAAAAAAAAGCTTTGCAAAGCAGAATGGATGTGTCAGATATTGATGAAAAAACTTCTTTAGAACTTAAGAAGCATATTAATTTCATTCTGCTTCACTTCTGGTATCTGCCTTTGTTATAGAAAAAAATCTAGGTAGACCCATCCATCAATTGACAAAAAAGGGAGTCTTTAGCTTTTAATTTCTCTCCACTGTAATTGTCGAAGCATCTGCTTTGTAGCAGGATCAATGGCACTACATCATAGAAAACAGACTGTTACTTTTCATTGATTTGGGTTTGGTGCATTTATTCCTCTGTGTGACATTTCAGACCTTTGCTGTAAAGTATGCACCCATGGGTCGCCAAACTTTTAATGATACTAATTTCTTGGTTGCTCTGGGAACATTGTTGCTGTCTCGTGTGAAGGATCAGCTTCTTGTTTTGTCAGAATGGAAGCCTCTGATGCTACTAGATCAAAGAGTAATGAATTTTGATGAAAATGTCTTTGAATCTTTGAGCCTTTAGTCTACTGTTTTTTTTTTCCTCAACATGTAGTTATTTCTCAAATATTAAAGACCCGATCCTGTTACTTTTTATCCTATCTCAGTTCTTATGTTCCAAAGAACAATTAACATAATTTGTTATCTTATGTTTCAGCATTAAACTTTCATCAGGGAATTGATCTTGACACACGAAAAGATAAAAATCAAACTGAATTTATGGTAAATCCTTCCAAGTAGAGGCAATAGTATTGGCACAACTGTTAGGGTCTCTAGTCATGCGTGGATTCTCAAGTAGCGACAGCACTTTACAGCAAAGTGTAATCAGCCTAATGACCCAGAAATCAATGATAATTAATTTCCAATGTTTGGCTGTCTGCTTATAGATAGTTTCAGAACTGAAAGGCAAATCCAATCCACTGGCAAGGGTGGCATGTTGATTGTCTGAAGTGGCTGTGCTGAGACCAGCTGAGGAGGACATTTGTTATATAACGAGGATAATCCCCAGGATTAGGAGATGAAATTTCAGAGAATCTGAAGTTGCACGAAAACACTATTTACAGAACACAGGATTATATAAAATCATTAAAGGCTCTTTTGTGTTTGAAGTATAAATACTAGAAATGGAGGCAAATTTCATATATTTTTTATTTTGCTTATTAATAATACCTATTCAGGAAATCAAAACTTCCACAAACAAAGGTACTGTTTACTCATGCTATTTTTAAACTACTCATATCATATGCTTAATATAGACACTGCACTGTGGTACAGCTATGAAAATTCCCATTTATGATCGATGCAAACGCATTCTATTTACATTTTTATGATGTGCTATATACTTATATTGGGCAAAGTTATGTAATCTTATATTAATTTACTTCAAAAAAGAAAATGCTCATTTGAGACAGTTTTTACACAGAATGTGTATATACTGCTTTTGCTTTATAAAAGCTCATTTTGATTTTAAACTAAGGAATTAAGTGTTCTTTTCGTAAATAATGTCTCATACTCCTGTGGCATTACCTGTTTGATTACTGCAGTGGTCAGTTTTTAAGTCCAAATGCAGTTGACTTCGTCTGGCATGCATGTCTTGATTCTGGTTGGTCAGTTCCTTATGAGGCATTTTAGGAGAGGCAATGGTGTGGCGCCTGTTTGCATTCACAATGACCATCTTTTTGGTTGGACTACTTGGTCTCTCAAACGAAACTGTCCTCCTTGGTTGTTTTCTATCTGCTGTTGCAAAATAATGGTTGAGAATTCCAGAGTGGGGATTTCCAAGTTCTATGAATGTTGTCTCTTGTTGTTCTAGATTCTCGGTGTTTGCATGGGCAGGGTTCATCTCTACCATGGAGGCATCCAGGTCAAAGTAATTGCACAGATATTTCATGTTACGAAATAGAATAGATTGCTCAGAATCTCGTCTGCAGCAACAGTTTTCCTTGTTGTAGAACCAGTACATGAATGGAGTCACGGTGGAGTTGCTCCACGCAAATAATGTTAACACTTTATACGCCATGTCTGGTGCCAAGAAATCTCTGTCCAGTACTGTGAGCATGAAAAGTGGGTACCAGTACATTACAAACAACATAGTCATGGCCATAAGAATGTACAAGCGTTTCAGACTGTATTTTTCCAAAAGTTTGACTTGTTCTTTCTGTTTCTCGGCCTGGAGATCGGGAGTATCATCCACCATAGGGTCAATCATGAGAGTAGCCCTGACCAGTGAAGCAGTTCTGTAATAAGATCTTTTCTTTATGTCTTGATGCAGACGTCTGAGGTGCATGACTGTTAGAATGATGGCCAGGGAAACCAGTGCAATCCATAGAACATGAAGGATATAATTTTTAGTCAGACCATACACAAAGATGCATATTCCAACATGTTCATCAAAGTCTGGATTACCTGGTAAGATTGCCACTCCCAAGTTTAATATGATGCTTGCAAGCCATATAATACATATACCAAAGACTACACAGTACCTGTTGCCTTCATGTTTAAGATGGACGCCTAAGCTCTTGTCGCTGCTCTGGTAAGCTTCGTTCACAACCATTGCTAACAGGTTGAATGCTGAAGTTGTGATGAATATGATATAAGAACTTCCCATGATGTTGCAAAGTCGAGGACGTAGAGATGTCAAAACACTCTGTGCAAAAGGAATGCAGTACGCAGACTTCACAAGGTCCAGAATGCAGTGATGAGCCATGAAAGCGTTAGAGGATTTACGTAATCTTTTCACCACAATCATGGAGACAAAAGAGCTGATATTTCCAACAACCCCAACAGATGCTATGATGATGAGGACAACTGCTTCTGTGAGGCGTCCTGGTTCTATGGTTTCTTTATGACGAATGCCAGTACCATTATAGTGGACAGACGACATTGTTATCTTCAAAATAATTTTTTTTGCTTCACAAGTTTTTAAAAAATCTCCCTGTTCTTTTTTCTTCTACATAAAAAAAAACTGTTGTTTTGTAATCAAATGATGATCATTTGTAGAAATTGTTTCATTTTCCTCATGAAGTCTGATGTTATCTCTGCAAATTGAAAATCTGATGTACCATTGTCATGCTGCTAGTTTGAAACTGTTCTTACCTTTTCCCTTCAAATCCTTTAAGTAAGAACAGGAATAGCATTTCTGACTGGTTCTAATGAGGTGTGCTAAGCAGTTTCCAAGCACTATTTTCAGTCTAACGTCTTTTTGTCCTTTGTGTATTGTAACTGTTAGGTTAGTTGAGGCAGTTAATTACATTGGTAGTCCTTCTCATCAGTCCGAGCCTCTCACTAATCCATTGATTCCTATTCGCTGCCAAGTGTCATGTGGTCCCTTAGTCTCAAATGCAATTCTTGGTCGTCCTTCTGAAAGAGAAAGAAGTTATTCTTTTTGACACATTGGCAACTTAGAAAATATTTGAGTAATTCTCTGAAGGTTGTGTATACACGGTGCTGTGTGTTGTACCATGGTTATTTAATGTAAATGCCAAGCTTGGAATATTGGGGTTTTCATTGACACCAAAGGAAATGATCAAGTGAAGTGATCACATTTTAAGACTTCTTAGAAGTGCACAGTTTCCTTTTGAACAGAATTGGCTTTTTGTTAGCTGAAATTTCAAAGAACAAAATTAGGTTAAGACCCAAAATAAATTCTGCTTTGAAAAGCCTCTATGTATTTATGGAAGCATTCACCTTCAGAATAATATTAGGCTTCCGAGATTTTAGGTTGTTGTCCTGGCATAGTACCAGATAGTTGTTTGCAGAAATACACTGTAGTTAATACTTTATAGCTAGACTGGAGAGACAGAAAGACTTACCATATTTCATATAATGACAACAGTTCAGTTCTAAATATTCTTGAAATTAAAATTGTGTTGCGCTTCCTCTGCTTTGTGCTGCAACTGCTAGTGGTCATGGCTGTCAACTGATTTTACGTGTAGTATTGCTTGGTACTCAGTAATAAGTCAGTGAAAAGTGTTTTAGCATGAAATTTTCTAAGCGATAACCATTGGTTACTTATGATCAATGATAGATTTTGTCTGCCGGCTGAGTTTAAAGGATTAGGGAAAGTGATTTTGAAGCATTGGCATTGAGGAGAACTCTGCAAAATCAATGCAATTTTCGTGTTTGCTAGAGAAATTAATCCTGAAATGGACAGTCTAATGTGGGGGTGTTCTATAAAATCATGGTGCACAACAGAAGTGCCTGATTTTTTTTTTTCTGAAATTTTTCTTGAAATTTAATGGAATATTTTTGAAGAAAAAGCTGATATTAATGTCTTTGTCAAAATTATAATTTTAGTATTGTTATATTTTTAGAATGTTGAAATTGTGGATGGAAAGTATTTTTTTTAACTGATCTGAATTACAAGTACAAATGAAAAAAATTATGGTAAAACTGATAATTTTGTATAAATTATAAAATGTGCAAGTTATTCTGCTATTCTGATTCTATTCAGAGGTCCGCACATCACACAAAGTGTGTCTAATCCTTTAAGTCATCTAAATGGTGCAATTAAACAACAGCATTCATAAACATGCAGATCTGCATCCTCAGAATCCCTCGGCTCAGGTTTACTTCTGTCTGTACATTGCGTGAATGCAAATACTGCTTAGTGAGTAAACAGCACAGCAACTTTCTATGTGCAGTGCATCAAGTTATGGACTCCCAGTGCTCCAAATGAGCATTATTTTGTATTGATTAAGTAAACCAGATAATTGATAGGACTGTCAGTGTAGGGAGGCATGCAGATGCTACAGTTTGAGCTAACCATTGATTTGTAGTTCATAGCTGATAATTTCAACCAGCCTAATAAAATGGATTATTGAGCATTGTTTAATGGTTATGTTTTTATCAGGCATTAATGTGGAAGTTCTCAGATATGGCCCTGGGATGTGGTGATAACTGAATTATCTTTTATGGATCTTACTTTGATGTCTCACATGCAACTTTATTTTTACACACTTTTCATTTTTTGTTTGTTTTCCTGAAACCCATTTACCAAAGATATAATAATATAAATGCCCTTGACAAACATTAAAAATGAACTTATTTTGTTTGACACAATTGTCAAGAACTATTATGTATATCATGTTTATAGCTATTTGAATCAGTATTCAGCTTATTCTGAGTCTTTGTCCATTTTTTTCATAGGCTGATTTGAGCAGAAAGTTGGGGGACATTGCTGCTAAGATTGTAGAGCAAGGATCTGTGATGGTCAAGATACTGCTGACCATTGGATCTAACCCAGAAGAAAATGTCCAGAAGTCACAAACTTTACAGAGTCTGATGGCACAGTATAGGGAGAATAATTATAAAGGTAGCAATATGTTCACATTTAAATATTTTCCAAGCTGCATTGCCAAGAGATTAATATAAAAATTTAGCTTAACAAGTCTGCTTTACATTATAGATATCAACTTTGAACTTCACATATTACATGCATTTTGCAAAAAAATGCCCTACAACTATATCTTTCCTAATGTTTTGAGCATTTATCAGGGGCAAAGAATCTTTGTAATTGATCCCAATGTTTCAGACAAAGGAAACGGTATCCAGGAAGAGGCTGAATATGTGAAAGGGAGGTTTAGAATTTTATTCAAATTACTTGGACAGCTACAGGAATTACAGCAGTCAGGTGATTTTTTCTGTACCATAACTTAAGTGATATTTTTTCTTGTATCATTTTCAGTATTTTTGTTATTAATAGGGAGATCAGTAAAATATCTCAAGTTCTTTCACATTATTAATATGTAGGTATATTTGTCTACCCGTTCAAAATTTTTTACCCTTTACCCTACTAGACTCATTTTAATAAAACGTGTGAAAAGAAATTTTAAAATCTTCCTAGGAGACCTTCAGGACCTGGCAAGTGAGATGTGTGTGCTGGAGAAGAAGATGACTAAGGAAAATGTCAGCGGAGTTGGTGGAAGGTTTGAGTGGGTGGATAGTCAGTTTGTGCGTGCTCTTCAATCAGGCGACTGGCTGCTTATTGACAATGTTAACTTCTGCAGGTATGCAACATTTATCAAGAATGTGGGAGCATTTCGGTAGATAGTGTTTAAGTTGACTGTGGAAGCATATTGCATTTATTTTATGGTATTGAGTGCATTTATTTATAATGTCGTTTCTTTTCCTGTTTTTTTTTCTTCAAATAAATGGATTTGGTTTCTTATCAAAATTCTGAATGTCAAAGCTTAAGTAAATGTATGTATGTGAGCTTCCACAAAGCAGTATTACCATGATGGCAATTTTCTGAAATCCCATTAATAAAGTTCCTTTAAGGACATGTCCTGAAATGTTAAGTTTACATATCCTATAAAACCAAGTTGCTATTTTTGAAACTTGATAACAAGTCTATAAGAAAAATCTATTAGCATAACTCATTGCCACTGACAATATGTAGATTGAATTGTTTCTTGAGTTTGCATTTTCCTCATTCTAATCAAGTCTTTTCCCTCCCTTCTATTAATGATTCGTAATTTCATTAACTTTGAAATGTGATTATGGATCCTTGGTGGTCCCAGAGTATTAATGGAAAGTGAAAGATGGGATGCTGTGCTTGTAGACCCCAGCTCCTCTGACAGGTCTATGATGCTTAGTGACCAGATTTAATGAAATGCAATATCCTAAATGTTCTTACATAGAAAACCTTTTAAGGATGTGTGTACACGCAGGAGATAACCGGGATTGTGCATCGATACTGTAGAATTGAAACACATTTCTTGAAGTATGCCATTTGGGTGTGTTTGAGTGCAGCTTGAATAATCAAGTACATTTGGGTACTTGGTTCTTAAAAATCTTTCTGCTGTTGAGTATCAAGGAATCATGATTGATTTCATCAAATTTTTTATGAGAATCTGATTTTGAAATATCAGAATTTTTTCTTGAAACATTTGTCCAACTAAGCAGTATAGCATTTAATGGTTTAATTGTTGCCTGATTGTATTTAAGTTCTTTTGTGAATATATAGTAAAAAGAAACTCATCATAATTTTCGGTCTGCTTTTAGCCCCTCTGTCTTAGACCGCTTGAATGCCCTACTGGAGCCTAATGGGGTTCTCAGCATCAATGAAAGGGGGGTATTAGATGGGGAGGTCCCCACCATTGTCCCACACCCAGATTTCAGGTAATGTCACACATCTATTTTATCTTTAATTATATATTTTTATCAAAGAAAGCCTAAAAAATGCAGAGTTAAACTGCATTACAGATCACAAAGGCATATGATAAAATTAACAACTTGGGTTTATTTTTTCTTTCAAAAATGTGCACAGTTCATGAAACATACAAAACTATTCAGACATATTAGTTGTGAATATATGAGAACTGTCTTTAGATACTGAGAAGGCAGTTTCATGATTTCATTCAGATTGATTCTTGCCATGGATCCCAAGCATGGGGAGATTTCCAGAGCTATGAGGAACAGAGGGGTGGAGATATACATTCTTGGAGAGGTGAGCCTTTTAGTTGGAGAATATAATCTGAAGTGCTATTGATTTTTCTGTGTCCATCATGTCTGCCAAAAAGATGTGAAGGCAGCAAAGACAGTTTTTTCATACCAACTCTAATTGCATTTAAAAAACTGTGTAATTGGACTTAAAGTGATTTTGAAAATATTTTGTTTTTGTTTTTTTTTTCTTACAGGAGGAAGGGGCCTGTTATGATGACCATGACATCAAGACCATGCTTCACGGTCTAGGCCTGGTGGGTAGAGTGCCCTGTGATACCCTCATGTCCATCCATACAGAGATTAAAGAGAACACGTCCAGTTTTGACAGGCCATCCATCCTGAGTGTCCTGCAGGCAGCCTCACTGACTGTACAGAATATGGAGAGAGGGGTGGACCTGCAGGGGAGCCTGCTGTTGGCATGTACTGATGTGTATGTCAGGTGTCAGAAGAACTTTGAAGATAGACAGGTGGGTGTGTGTATCTGTGTCTGTGTGATGGAAGACAGTGGGTACAGAAGACCTAATTCTGTAAGAATACAAGTTGCCATATTCTGCAGTCCATTCTATACAAGTCTCTCTTCTATTTGTTTAACATTTTTCATTTTATCATCATTTTTGAAAATTTGTCAGATAGAAATGTAACAAAAGTTTTGATAAATAACGATTGTTGCATTACTGCCCAAATTTTTTTCTTATAGAGTGAACATACAGCTACATTTTTTACAGAGAGCCAGAGATCTTATTTCTGCTCATGTCATTGCCCTTGATTTGCTAAAGATAGAGCAAAGGGAGCAACGGTCAGCTCTGCTAGAGGCAGGAGTTTGGCCTAATCAGGTGATGGATTCACTCATCTGCTGCCAAGATGCTACCATGGCGATGGTGCTGAGGGATGGGGCTGTCTTGGCTAGCATACTCAACCATATTTCAACTGCCACTGTTCAGTTTAGGTAAATATCAATAAATAGATATATAGAAAAAGGAGCCTACACCACACTTTGTTTTCTTGGATACCTCATCCATTTATTTTGTCTACACCTACACCTACTTTTTTTTGCCAAGGGGGGAGGGGGAGAACCAGTGATTTTATCATAATCATGTCGACTCCAAAATAAATAACATACCAGGACAGCAATTTTAGTAATGAGATCAAATTTCCTTTTAGTTGATTTAAAGTGAATAATATATGGAGTTATAAGAAGAAACGTTTAATACATAATTACTCGGACTTTGAAAATTTTCAGAAAAGACACACCATTGGCATTCAGTGAGCTTGTCACATCAAGCCAGCCCCTTGCTGTAAGCCACCAAGAGAGCCTTCCTCTCCTGAGACCTGCCATACAAGTGTTCTTGGAACTTTCATCACAGAATGACTGGAAGATGAGATTAGATTGGCTGCAGTGGTTTATGGCCAATCGGTTTCCAAGTGGGAAAACAAAAGGAAGCGAACTTGGAATTGCAGCCCATTTGCTGGAGATTGCTGCCAAGGGAATCCATGCTCTTCACACTCACCCATTATCTGATGTATTGAGGAAACAGCTGACAGAGCTGTTTAGGGTGCAAAAAGGTATATAACTTAAATAAAATCTCCTGTAATCCCTGTAATGTTTCAAAAGGCCTTGGGATTATGGAAATGAAAAATTTTTCTTGACTTTGAAATGCAAGCTAATTTAAATTATCAGTACTCCTGCAGGAAGGAGATAAGGAGTTACTACTAAGAGTGATGAATTAAGTGTCAATTAGGTTTGTCAGTGCTCTTATAGCTTCATCATTTAAAAGGTGTACTTGATGCCTTAATGTCTTTTTGATTAAAACTACATGCCTAAAGAAAACAGGCACCCATCTCTTAACTCCAAAAGTTAATTTTACAGAAACCTGCGTCACTTTATAATTGGTTTACAAGTTTATAGCTGAACTGATTAACATTGTCATTTGCCATTGGGCATGAACATAACCAGATGTAATTATCCTGTATTCTATTGAATTATAATGCATGAAATTTAATCTATAATTGTGGTGTTTTGACAAGTTTGAATTAGTTTGACAGGATTAAAGTGATGTGCCATGTGTCCATGCAGAATGCTCAAACTTTTTGAAATATAGAAAAAATGTTTTCTTCAGTTTCACGTATAGGTGTGTGTGTGTGTGTGTGTGTGTGTGTGCGTGCGTGCGTGCGTGCGTGCGTGCGTGCGTGCAAATTTGTTCATCAAGACTTGACAAACAAATGTACATCAGTGCATTTAGAGACAAATAACCTGCAAATAATACAATAATGACAAATACTTCCCAGAGCCCAGAGAGATTTATAATTGCAATTGATCTTTCTTGCCAGAATTGGAAGCGTTAAGTGGTGACCAGCCCCTGGACCTGAGATGGAACGGACAGCTGGTCCACAAGTTGTGCATGGCCCAGGGCAGAAAAGAACAGATACATCATTTCTCACAATTTCTACAGACGCTGAATTCCCAGTGGAATAAGTAAGGATATTTTTACTTTATAATTCCATTGACAAACACTTTTTTGACCAATGTGTTTACTCTGGAACCAAATTTTGTAGATTTAGTGTTGACATAATGGTTGTGACTGGTAATCTTCAAATGTACACTTGGTGTAAACAGTGCTATACTTGGAAAGAAATGAGAAGTCACAATGACTGGTGGCTTAAAAGAGATATATTTTAACTAGATGTCAAATATTTTATGTTGAATTAATTGTTTCCCGGGATATGAGGGAGAAAATGTTATGCATGCCTATTCCAAACACTATATATTTTATGTTTGAAATATTCAGAATGAATGGTCTGTTTGGAGTCTATTGTGACATTTGCTGGGAAAACAGTATCTGACAGTGGATGACCCTGACTGTTGTGTGCATTTTGATCATTACATATTTTTACATTATCTCACATTTGTCACAATTGATTGACCCCATTTTCAGTGCCAGTTATTGATTCATAGTAATTTGTCATGCATTCTTCTGAGATTTTTCTGAGATTTATGGAATTTTAGCTCATAGATGGAAGGGGAAAAAACCTTTTTGCCTGAAGCACAATGTTGTTTTGTCCTCTTCTTAGCTGTATTCCCTGTAGAAATAATGTGAAGTAATGAGTCTGTATTGCATACTGCTAATTACTTTTTTAGGCAGCAAAATATGCCTTACAGATAATTGAGCAAAATCTGGATAAATGACGGTTCATTCCATATGATCATGGTTATTATCATTTGTCTACTATAAAAGTTTGTATCAGGAATAAATGAGTCCATGTAAGGGGATGTGCTAAAATGCAATTTTTTGTGTTGTTTTGGATTTGCAGACCCTTACCCTATTTGCTGGGAAAAGGTCTGCTCTAGATAAAATTTGATAAAAGTACATGATGGTTTCATGATAAAAGGTCCACTTTTTCACCCCCTTTTGGCTACAGGCCTGATTTGGTACCAGGTGAAATAAAGAAAATGAGTCTGAAACTGATGTTTTGCTCAGTTTGCTCTCTCTTTATCCAAAATCAAATATATCCTATTGATCTTATAATTAGTACATGTTTTGTGTGTATTTTCAGATTGTATGTCCTTTGTCACCTAGCACAACAGCAGGTTCTGGATTATGACGATGTCACAAGGGTTCCATCACAGAAAGCAGTCTGCCCACTCCAGATATCTCTAGCTGTATTTAATGGTAAGGAAGTTTTTCTTTCCAAATTTTCCCCTTAACTTATTGTAAATGACCAGTATTTAAAAAATGGTAAGTATTGTAAAAAAAGGGGAATCTACTGCTCTGACAGGGTCATTGTTCTGAGAGAAATATCTCCTGGGCCAGTTCACATTGCACATTAATCAATGACTTTAATGTGGTAATCAAGCTTTACTGAATAAGTTTAATGTTTCTAAAATCATTATGGTAATTTGTAGGATTGGCAAGCTATGTAGTTGTAGGAATATGTATGAGATAAATGTGTTATACAAACTACATAAATACCAAAGGGAATTCATATAGCATGATTTGTGCTTCTGTTATGTAAAAAAAATTATCAGTACAATTATTGATTTTTTATGAGGTTTACATTTGCTTGTTTGAATGAGGATAGATTCTTCACAGTTAAAGTAGAATATTTATATAGTAGAGATTTAGGTATTTAGTATATTCCAAAGTTTTTAAGTAAACCACTGTTTTTGGTTTTTGCATTACAGTACTATTTTTAAGCACAAAATGAATGAATTTTAGATTGCATTCTAAATTATTTTTGAAGTAGCTAATGGTGTTTATTGCCCTTAAAGATGAAACTAATTTCAATTCTTAACATATTTTATAAGGAGTAGAATTATTTTAAGAAAGGTCAAAAGATAAACTCTAGGGGATTGTTTATCACAAATGCAGCATAATGGGAATTCTCACATCTTGAGGAATTAGAATGATAATGTGATGACACTAGGAAGTATGTAGCAATAGGATTGGGGTATCACACAGATTAAGGATAGGATGTAACCATGTTTGCCACAAAAAGTATGGAATGAATAAAGCAACCAGTGAAATATAACTATTCAATAATAATAAAAAAATCAATAACAAAATGAGTATGAAAGAAAGCTTATTTTGTTAACATAAAATGACTTATGGTTGTGGATTGAAGTAAAAGAAAAGGAAAGGAAAAGAGGTAAAATACCCAGTCTTATTTGTTTGACTTGTCCAACAGAGACAGGGTATTCCTAGGAGTAAAAGGTTAATTATCAGAAGATAATTTGGAATGTACATTAAACTGTAAGCAATTGAAAGTACCAATAACCTTTGTGATTTACAAGTTAAACTAGCTACACAGCAAAATTGACTGTTCCAAAATGTATGAAATATTCATTATTTTGCAAAACACAGTCTTACGTGTGCACATATATTGATTACTGTTTAAGTGTTCAATGTTTAAAGGGATTAGGATTTACTATAAAATTATATTATGTAAGAAGAAACCAGAATCGGCCCATAAAGTTTTGGCTGGCTATCCATTGAAAAAGATATATAAAACAACATTTAAGTTGATCAGTTAGACATTTAATTTTGGTTTATTATGGTATTTAGAAGTTAAATAATGGTACCTTATACTAAAGATACAGTATTGTGCTCCAGATATGATTTTGTATCTTTTCATCAGTGTACGCAGTAGAATGTTTAAGCATATAGACATGATTGTCCAAATATGCAAATCCTTACAGAACTGAGAAAGATGCAAATTTTCAAGTGGTCTGTTTGTTTGATGAAGAAATAGTTTTTTAAAATGTTGCTGCTGTCACCAACAACAAAAAGGTGAATTTCCACTTTATTTTCAGAGTTTAAAAATGTTTTGACTTAAAAACATAGAACCTTTTGCCTACAACTTTAATAAAGTTCTATCAGACTATTACACTCAAAGCCGTGTCACTTACCTACAACATTGTGTAGATTCCGGGTTGGGGAACTCTCAAGATTTTCAGGATTTCACTAGTTCAGGTGCTTCCTGTACCGGACATAGATTCCTGTCCGTGGTGTTGAACCAAGTACCACAGTGGTCAATATGTCTTATCTGGACGGCACGGGGAATACATCCTACGTCATTAGTAGCTATAGGAGGCTCTCAAGTGGTGGGAGTCTCATGCCATATTCCATAATTCACTCCTGAGGCTTTCAGTAGTAAAGGTTTTCTGGGTAAATTCCTCTTGCCCAGAAGACCCTGCCAACTCTTTGCTGCAAGGTGGTTTGCTCCAACCTGCTAAGAGAAATTGATATTTTCTCCAGAAGATTGAGAGTCATAGTGCTCAAATTTATATTCATTTGACTTCTACACTTGGCCTGGGGGGACTGTTAGTGATTGTACATATAGTAGTGTACGTCAAGCAGCTCTAGACAGTGTCAAATTGTCACTTAACGCAAAATTACCCCAATTTAATTTTGGGGATTGCTACATTACCTTTTATGATTAATTCATAAAGATAAATCTCCATTGATATATTGATTGCAGCAGAAGTTTGTATTAGACTGGAGGACATTCTTGGAGATATTTCTAAGACTTTTGACTGTTAGTTACTGGAAAGATCAATTACCATACAGTAATCATTTAAAGTGATAGTGTACTATTGAAAAATTGAGGTTGACTTTCATTCTGTTGGTGTAAGTGAAGAAGCTGGCCAGTGTATGTGGGGCTTTTTTGGTTACAGTGATAAAAGAAATACTGTGGTTGCATTGAAAACTAAAAGATTACTTACTTTACTTTGTGTTCTACAATTGGATAAATAGTTGTCAAATGAGTATATCAGAACTATGTAAAAATTATCGTCCATGAAGTTAAGACTTCTAAAGGTTCTAAACATTTTTTGCTAATTTTGACTGCATTTGCTGTATCAGTTTAAGTGCACAGACCTAAAGAGTAATTGGTGGCCTCATATAGTTGTAGACGTGCAACATGCAATGGACACGTATCAGATACATTAAACAATGTGCACATCACAGACAAGCATAGAAGTCAACACTGGTCAGATTGTATCTTGCTGAAAAAACACTTTTTACCATATGGCATTTTATCATTTGGGAATGAATTTCTGTGAAATGCAATTCCAAGAGATAACCTACTCAATCAACCCTTGAGGTTTAGTGCAAATGGAGTGACACCAATTTAAGAAACTGTACTTTTAGCTACTCCTGGTGTTATCTGTCCCCAGAGGGTAAATTTTGACAGGGATGCATATTGTCCAATAGTTTGCATCAAAAATCAGAAGGAAATAACTGAATACTGGTAATATTGATCGCACTGACAGTCAGATCGGAAAAATTCGGGGAGGGGGAGAGGGGGGGGGGAGACAATGAATCTCATGAAAAGCCTCCCACAGGTGTTAATTGCACCTTATTCATTCAATCAAAACACAGTGACTGTACATGTGGTGTTTTCCAGGTCAACGTAAGCCACTATGCTTGGTCTAGTTTTTAAATTTTTTTTTTTTTTACTTCTAACATCATTTTAAACATAGTCTTATAATCATGGCTATCAATCACAAAACTTTATTTAGGTTTAAGAAAAAAAATGCCCATAGGCTTTTAATAAATGGAAATGAAGTGTAGATGATGACTAATGACAATCATAAGGCACTTTGATTAGTTGTGTGTGACAGCTCATCATGATTATGAGGACAGTAACTGAATTCATTCTTGAGTATATTCAATTTATAGGACTCCAAATTCCTTATTATTGTATTAGATGCTGTGGAGATTGTTTAAGGATTGAAATTGAATTAGACTGGTGTTGGCTCTGTGGAAAACACATGGTGTTAAGTTAAGATGCACTCGGTCTTAAATGTGTATGATGTGGAAATAAAAGAACTGTGAATATTTTGGACCAGATTTACATGAATAACAAGAGCCTACAGGAGGCAGTGAATAAAATATGAGGCATACTGTTTGAACAAGTTTTATGAATGATATATTCTTAGGCCTAGCTGGGCTTGTTTCTTATCATCTATTGATAAGGCATTATGATTGAAATACACAAGGACTGTTATGTCACCAAATTATTCATAGAACGTACCATGTAGACTATATTTTTTGCCATTTTTTGAATAAGCAGGAAGCTTTTAATTGTTTATTACTGTTGCTTGATCAATTTTGAGGAAAACAAGCGAATAACAATACAATACAGTTTTGTTGTTCAGTTGGAAATGTACACATGTTTGACTACAGGAAAGGATAAGCAAATATCAATTAGAATAGACACAGTATAAGTGCCTCACTAACAGTTCTCTTTTGTGTAATACGTTCATGGGGGTCAAAGTAAAACAGCCAACAGTTGATTTTAGGACAGATTATCTCAGAAAACTTAAGTGCCTCGCCTGGTAAATTGCTTTAGGTTTGTATTTTCACAGGCTGTCTGTGTAAGATAAATCTGCTAGTCGATAGTTTGAATAATGGCTGTATTTAAGGGATAATAAGAATGTGCATTAGCCTTGCTGCCCAGGCCTTAGTAATCCAGTTCATCAAGTGTTTACATGTTGATCACATTTTGTGGTTGGAGAATATATTTCGACCAATATTTACAGAAATAGTAATAATCATTTATTAGTAAATGAGAGAAGTAAATGTCATTTTTGTTTTGCAGAAGTCAATGTGAAAAAAGATACACATAAGCCTTACTTTCGCTATTTTTTTTGTGTGATTGATTTTTGCTTAATGGTGTTTGGTATCACTTTTAATCCAGGCAATGCATGACTTCAGGACATATTAAAGATTATTAAATGTTGGTATGAATGCTAGATCACACATAGACCGTTTTTAGATTTCCCTTTTTTTCTTAATTAGAGGATTGAAATGAATTTAAGAAAAAATTTAAAAGTTGTCAAATTTAGTATGATGTACAGATTACTTAAGTGAGCCTTTCCTTGAATGAAGAAAAGTGCATATTGTATGTTTGATGATGATTAGATTGATCAATTCATTGATTAAAAACCATGTTCATTCTAGGAAGGCAAGATGCTAACTCTGTCCCCCACCCTGTGCTATTACATTTAGCACCATTCCTGAATGTGTTAGATGAGATGTTGAAGCAGCTGATTGCTTCTCTGACACAATTGACTGATGACCACTTCCAAAAGGTAAATATCTTAGACTGACACTTCAACCTTATGAATTTTTCCTGATAAATGTGTTAATACAATGATATGTTGCTAAAACCTTTTGGTCTCTATTAAGAATTTTTGATTTTAGGTTTGGGTTTCATTGTTGTGGCACTCACGTTTCATCCAAGCTTGCAAAATGAGTTACAAGAAGATGGATACCATGTTGGCTCAGCTGTCGTTACATTGGGGATGGCTATGTGAGAAAACACTGTTTCAGTTGTTTGGACAAAACAAGTAAGTATACTTTAAACCATTTTACATATAAGTGAGTTAGACTGATTTTCAAAACAAAACAAACACACAAAAAAACAGTAATGACTTTCTTCCTTCAGAATTGACTAATTTTGGTAGATGTATCACAAGAATATGATTGTATAATTTGTACAAATCAGCATTCTCAATTTCAACAAGTTGGCTGTATTTTGGTTTTTCAGTATTCCAGCAGAATTAAAGGCTGTGACAGGAAGGCTAGATGACATCCTAAGCATGGACAACCAGGCCAGCAAAGTCCAGCAGAAGATCAGTAAGGTCTTTGGCTGCCCTAGACCTTTTAAATCTGAAGAAGCAGCAAGGGCTGTGTTGTCTGTGGAGGCCATAAGCAGAGCACTCAGTTTAAACACAGGAG